CTTCTTATTCTAAAGGTTGGTTTGTTTCCTGTCCCTGTTGACAAAGGGAAGAAAGAAAATAGAGACTACCTTAGTTTTCAATTGTTGTTATATGTATCAAGTTGGAAGTAACTCCTAACTGATCCTCCAGCAGGCTTTCAGAGGCTGTAAACTATACGAGGAGGCTGCTCATCTTACACCTGGGTAGCAGGTGATGTATTAGAACTACTTTCCTCATAGATCAATGGAATAGAATTGAGAACCCAGAAATCTGCTCATCTACCTATGGTCAACTGATTTTGGACAAGGAGATGAAACAAGTGAGGAAATTAAAGCCTCTTTAACAGTGCTGGCAAAATTGGAAAACTATGTGTTGAAAACTCACGTAAGATCCACACTTCACATCATACACAAAAACCAACTCAAAGTGGATCAACGACCTAGGAACTACTTTCCTTTGAAATGGTTGTGCAACTCTTGAGCCACTAGAGCTCCTTAGTTTTTAGGTTAGGATACTATAAATATCAATTGCTAAAGAAAATTACCAGAATATTTAAACCATCAAATCTTTAAAACCTTGATGGGGAAGATGGGGAAGGACCACATTCTCTTTGGCCAAGTTTTAAGTAGGAAATCTTTTCTTATGCCTTTAAAATTTATGTTTTGTAGTATTGATTAAAACCAGCACAAAAACAGTCTGTCCAATTAAAAATCTGTTGTTGTTGTTGTTGTGTCAGGTGTCAATTCAACTCCTCCAAATCCTAACAACTCTATGTACAACAGAACAAAACCCAACTCCATCATGCACCACACTCACAACCTGTTTTGCTTAAGCTCATTATTACAGTCACTGTAATCCATCTCGAGTCTTCCTCTCTTTCACTGACCTGCCACCTTTCTAAGAATGACGACTTCCAAAACAAAAAATATCCAAACACTCAAGCACCTGAAACCATCACAACTCTTAAATGAAGAGGGGCACAATTCTTTGATACGACTACCTGTTTAAATCTTAGGATTATCAACACTCTATGGAAGCAATTAAATAATCTAGTTTTAAGACAAATGTGTATGTTTTTAAAAGATGCAAAATTTCTAAGAGATATTTTTTAAAAATATTTAAATGAAAATTTGCTATATGTCATCAAGTCCACTACTCATAGTGACTCATAGTGCCCTTATCAACAGATCTGAACTTTGCCCTATCTGTGCCATCCTCAAAATCTCTATCACACTGTGATAAGTGACCTCCTTGAGGGTCTTCTCTTTCTCTGACCCTCTAATCTCTCAATATGTCTCTCTTCCAAGGACTGACCCCTCCTGAAAGAATTCTCCATGGCTAGAATTTAAGAAAGTTTCACCATCCTTGCATTCTAAGAAGCACCCAGGCTCCATTTCCTCCAAGACAGATTTGTTAACAGTCCATAGGATATTCAGAAATCACCATTCCAACTCAAAAACATTAATTCTTCTTCTGTCATCCTAAACCATTTCCAACTCTCAGAAGCATAGCAGGTAACTGAAAAGACTGGCTTAGTTCAAGTCTTTAAACTGGCATCTTTGCTAATTAGGACTTGGGAGCAGTCTTTGACAGCACATTTTCCCAGTGCAACAAAAAATTTAATTTCCTGACTACACAGGTGCTGACTGTAGATCCAAGTAAAATTAAATTGTTGCTAACTTCCTTATTTTTCATCTATCATGGGAGCTCTAGTTGCCTAGTATTAATAAGCTGTGCTGTCAATCCAAATGCACATGGTTCAAATCCATCTAGCTGCTCCAGAGAAGGATGAACAATCCCCTCCCATGCAATATGCAGCCCCTGAAAACCCACCGCAGAGTCAAATATAAATTGGTTCCCACTCGACAGCATGATGTTGCCTGTTGATCTAGTGATATGGATTTCTGTTATTCTGATGTTGAGATGTAATCCATATTGAGGACTGTAGTCTTTTGATCTCCTGTAGTAATTGATTCAAGTCTTCTTCACTTTTTGCAAGCAAGGTTGCATCATCTGTATAATATTGGTTGTTGAGGAATCTTCCTCCAATCCTGATGTCATATTCTTCTTCATATAGTCTACTTTTTTAATAATTTGTTCAGCATGCAGACAGAATAGGTATGGAGAAAGGATATAACCCTGACACATACTTTTCTTGAGTTCAAACTATGCAATATCTTTTTGTTCCATCTGGATAACTGCTTCTTGGTCTATGTATAGGTTTCACATGAGCACAGTACTTTAAACTATAATTGCATAGCTACTGTGATGTTTCAATAATACCATTTCATATTCTTTTTATGACTAAGAGGGCATATCACAATTTAACCAGGAAAGCTCAACGGGCCTATTTAACCACTGTTTGGTTTCAAGTTGTTCTGTTTTAATGTACTTGATTACAGCATAAAGGATACAGCACTGGCATGATTTATACCGACAAAGACAGCTACACACCGCATTACACTTGACCATTCTCTTTTAAACTTATGTGGCTCTCCCAGATGCTTGTCAATACAGGGGTATAATAATCCAATTACAGCTGTGGAAGAAAAAGGAAAAAATAAATAAGTCATCGCCAGCATTGTAGTGGCAGCAATACTTAATACATATACATATTCCTTAAAAGATATTCCTTGGGACTTTGCTGGGAGATCTGCAAGGACAGCAGAGGCAGTTCCAGGACGGGGCTTCCGACCCAGCCTTCCTGTCTGCTACCACTGCAGGCACCGACTACAGTTCCCAGAGGTCTGTGGGGAAACGCCATCTTTGTAAACTTGGACTTTGCTGGGAGATCTGCAAGGACAGCAGAGGCAGTTCCAGGCCAGGGCTTGTGACCCAGACACCCCACACCCATTTAGGCACTCGAGCCAGGAAGACAATCATATTTGCCACATCTATAAGATTTATCAACCTCCCCTAAAATACTCATGTACCATTGAGGATTAAGTTATGTGGGGAATCAAACTGGTTTCTGGCCTGAGTA